GCGGCCGCCCCCGCCTCCCCCACCCGCCTCACCTCGTCCCGCCCGGCGTGGCCGTCATTCCCCTCTTTTTGTGTGACGGCGTGCGGCGCGCACTTTCACTACTTCGTCATAGGTAATGAAAACTCACTCAGCCCCCCCCTCCCTTCAGCACCCACCACACCCTCACCCGTTATAATTTGTGCCGGGGGGTGGGGTGGGGGTGGGGGCTCCACTGTGTCCACAGCCCTCCGCAGCGTATAGTTTTTACTCGAGCAAATATTATGACACTGCCGCAAATAAACCAAACACCAGCGGAGGGGGAGTTGGGGGGTGGGAACCTCTCTGCGTCAGTAGTGCACGATGGGAATGAGGGGGAGAAGGTACGATGCCCGGTCGCGTCCGTAGGTTGCCTTGACTTGACCCCGGGGCTTGGTGGCTCTGGCTGGTCGCTAGGTGCGCTAGCGGCCTCGACCTTTGCCTCGGCCTCTGCTTCGGCCTCCGCCACGGCCTTGGTCGCCACCGCCGCCACCACCACTGAGTGCGTTGGGGCGCCGAGGCTGGCCCCGGCACAACTCGGCCCAGAGGCCCCGGAGGCCCTGAGCACTACCAGAGGCCTCACTCCCCGCCCATACCCTTTGCTTGCCCCCGCCGGTTTCCCCCCTTCTTACTCACACGCCGTGCAACACCTGGAATCTGGCCCAAACACGGCGGAGCGGGGGTGCTACGGCGGAGCTGAGGTGAGGTGGGGGGCATAAATATGCCTTCTTTTGCTGCTGCGCCTTTTTTTACTTTAGCGTCGAGCCTGGCCCGGCGGCCACCCTCCCCCTCCCCTCCCACCTGTCAGGGCCGGCCAGCTCACAGTGGGGCCATTGCCTGGCAGCGCTAAAAATTCACAAGCAGGAGTTTTGCTCGGCAGCTGTGCCGCTGCTCCGTCGCTGGGCTTGCGCCCCCCCCCCCCCTCTTCCCCTCCCGCCGAAGCGGGACGACGGGAGGTGCGGCCTTCCTTCCCCCTCTGCTTCTTGCGGATGAGTTTTCTCATTCTCCTCCTCCACCTTACGC